CCTGTAATCCTAGCACTTTGGAAGCCAAGGCAGGCAGATCACTTGAGGTCAGGAGTTCGAGACCAGCCTGGCCAACATGGTGAAACCCCATCTCTACTAAAAATACAAAAATTAGCTGCGTGGTAGCACGCACTTATAGTACCAGCCACTTGGGGGTCTGAGGCAGGAGAATCACGTGAACCTGAGAGGTGGAGGTTGCAGCTGGCCACAGACACACCACTGCACTCCAGTTTGGGTGATAGAACAAGACTCCATCTCAAAAAAAAAAAAAAAAGTTACATTTCTAGTTTAAAAGACTATCAAGAAAGGAACTCTCCAGATTCAGATGGTTTCATTGCAGAATTCCACCAAAGTTTAAGAATTAACACCAATGCTACACAAGTGCTTCCAGTAAAGAAGAGGAGGGAACACTTCCCAACTCATTTCATGAGGTAATACCATGATACCAAAAGCAGATACAGTACCAAACCAAACAAAAAAAAAAAAAAACAAGAAAGACAACTATAGACCAATATCCCTCATTAGTAGAAATGAAAAAAATATTAACAAAATATTAGCAATTTATACACAATGACCAAGTAGGGTTTATTCCATATATTTTTTTTTTTTTTGGAATAAATAAATCCTACTTGGGATTTGTTTATCCCAAGTCGGGTTTATTCCAAATAAAAAAGGCTCATTCAACATTCAAAAATCAATCAACATAATATACCATATTAACAGGCTAAAGAAGAAAAATTACACAATCAGATGTCACCATTGGAGTATACATAATAAACCTTTAGTTCCATTCAATTTGGATGAAATCAATCATTACACTTTAAAGGACTTGCCTATACAAGAGTAACTCTTTTTCACCAACAAAAGCTTGACCTGTTTCAAATGTTGCATAATATCCGAATTTTGGGAACTAGAGAAAACAAGACACTGAAACATTTTTTAAAAGTTGATAATTTTGTTAAAAAAACTTCCCTTTTCCACAGTTAAGATGCCTGCATGCCATCTCAATTGGGAAGGAAAATTGTCTTACCATAATTAAACTGACTGTTGGACTTTTCACAGTTAATGATGTTAAACCTGTAAGCAACACCTGGCCGCATTCCACTGACTTCAAAGTAAAACCACTGATGATAATGATTGCTGTTTATATCTGAGTTCAGAATAAGATCATATTCATTTCTGAAAATAGAAGACAAAGAAATCTGATGAAAAATAGGAAAATATCTGTGCACATACAAAATGAGAAAATCTTAAGTGACTTACTTTCTAATTTGAATTACTTTGCGCAGATTCCCAGATTCAAATTTGGAGTTAAATTTCAAAATATCTCCCTCTTCTGGAATGGTGTAACTAAATAAAATTTTTAAAGTAAATATATTAAAATACATTGCATTTAAATAGATGAGCAAAAATTAAATAAAATTATAATTAAAAATACATCACTACTGCCATATCACCTTCCTCATTATTTTTAAGCTGAAGCACAAAACAAGCACAATCAATACATTAAATGTGGATAACATTTATGGACAAACTTATAATTAGAGACTTGTTCTTATGTTTATACTGATATAGTAAGAACTTTTGCCTCACTGAATGCATGCCATTTCTAAAATACTTATTTTTATACAAAAAAGAACATTTTTAAAACCGCTGTGACCTGTACTGAGCAGCAATAATTCTCATAAACCATACGGTTCTCAGGTAAAAATATTATTTTCAAATCGAAGAGCTAAATTACCTATTATGTTATTTCATTAGCATGAAGAAGCACACGTATTAATCCTCATTTTACATACTGATTATTAAATAAGCATTTACCATGTATCTACTAGGTGCCAGACACTGTCTGAGACACATGTCTGCGTGGTTCCCTGACTGAACGCAAACTCTTGCTCTTCTGGAGCCTACTCTCTAAAAGAGAAGACTAGGACTCTAAGATGCTCAATCATTCTGTCCAATAGCACAGGTATGCCACACTCAGGGTTCCTGAGTTTCTGCTTCTACCACTCTGCCTGTCTTATCTGACAAAGAATTCTCAATGTCGAAATAATTAAATAAATAAGGTATATGTTTCTTCTCTTCTATAACAGTATTATTTCAAATGTAGTCATTAGCTTTGCTACAGCTTATAGTTTTAGCTAACAAAACTTTAAAAAAAAAAAAAAAAAAAAAGTGTTTTAGCCAGGCACGGTGGTTCATGCTTGTAATCCTGGCACTTTGGGAGGCCAAGGCGGTCAGATCACCTGAGGTCAGGAGTTTGAGACCATCCTGGCCAACATGGCAAAACTCTGTCTCTACTAAAAATACAAAAATATTAGCCAGGTGTGGTGGCACTTGTCTGTAGTCCCAGCTACTCGGGAGGCTGAAGCAGGAGGATCACTTAAGCCTAAGAGGCAGAGATTGCAGTGAGCTGAGTCTGCACCACAGCACTCCAGCCTGGGCGACAGAGTGAATGAGACTCCATCTCAAAAAGAAAAAGTGCTTTTTTCCTCCAAATACGATTGGCAAGATGTGAAATTTTCCAAAAATATTAGTATGTTGAGGGAGAGAAGAAAGCCACTGAGGGCTAATTGAATTTCTCATACGAGAAGGCAGCTGACTAAATAAGAGTCAAACTCAGTATTTGTAATTTTCATTTATTTACTTATATTTAAATCCTAAAATGTGATGATATCAGTGACAATCTTAAATAGTAAATGACTAACACATCAAGGATCACACACACAAAAAAATGCATTCCAAAGATTGAGCAGGCAACCTAAATGAGCCAATTATAAGCAGCGAGAGACAACAGGGTATGGGGAGGACTGTGGAGAAGGATCAAGCAGATGCTCCTTCTAAAGGGATGGTTAACTTGTTATCCCAATGAAACGAAGGCTCAGTATTGCAGGACAAGCCAGCATTTCATGTCAAATATCCACTCTCCTAGTGAAAGTAATTTCAGTTCTTTAAAAATACAATATCACTGTGTAACCATTACCTTAAGCCCATTAAAGATCTACCAAAAAACAAACAAAATCTCGTGATAGAGTTAAGTAGGTAAACATGACTTACCATTACCATTACATCACAAAGGATGAAAACCTAATTAAGTCGCAACTAGTTATAAATTAACTATTTATTATTTTAAAAACTACCAACATTTTTCACAGAATATTTTTTTACCTTTTAGAAATAATACTAAAATTTTATAGAAAAACTTAAAACTAATAAAAGTTTATTAAAATCAAGACTTACTTTGGGTTATCTAAGTCATATACCACACGATCTATGATATCACTCTGATGTATTAGCCTTTCAATATCTTGAGCAATTTTTGTCCTGAAATCATAAAGGTTTAACCAAAATGTATTATTATACACTAATGTACAACTTTCTCCAAAATAAATTTTGAATGAAAAAAGTGTATGATAAAAATTCTTAAAATAAAAATGATAAATTCCTCTATCTACATATTTTGCATACAAAAAAATTAGCAATACATAACAAGACAAAAATCAGTATCAGAATCTGAGTTCTAGAAAATAACCACATAGAATACAGCCACAAGTCCAATCATTAAAAAAAAAAAAAAAAACCTTGAACGTCTATTTATGCCTTTCCTCATAGAAATGGTGTGGTTTCAGTATCTAACCCTTGGGCAAATAATTTTGTATACATAATAGCAGCATTACTAGAAGGTATAAAGATCTGAAAAGCCAGAGATTATATAAGAATAATTTTTTTAAAACCCACCTGTCTGGAATTTAGCTAAAATGCAATTGGCAGTCAGCCTGCATGTTCTGTAGAATCTCTCCTCTTGTGGTGGGAAAGGAAAGGTAGAGGGAAGGGAAACATCTGAGGGAGCAGATGATGATTCCCTGAGCACGCAAAATTCTCTAGATTGGATGTCTCCCTGAATCACGCCAACAAAATAAACATTCACTAACTAGAAAATTCCTACAATCCCTGCCACCGTCCTAGTAGACAGTGTCACCCATAGAACCCACAATCTTTACCCTATCAATATTTAAGCAAACGAAGACAATGATCACCAAACTGTGACAAAACAGGTGACACCAAAATATAGCCAAAACAGAACAGATTTGGTTCCTAAAGCCAGACTGTCTGGAACTCCGGGTAGACTGGCCACAAAGTCCCCCTAGTGTTAATACATGGCTACTTCTCATGTAAAACTTATTCTTAAAGAGGAAGGTGGCCGGGCGCGGTGGCTCAAGCCTGTAATCCCAGCACTTTGGGAGGCTGAGACGGGCGGATCACGAGGTCAGCAGATCGAGACCATCCTGGCTAACCCGGTGAAACCCCGTCTCTACTAAAAAATACAAAAAACTAGCCGGGCGAGGTGGCGGGCGCCTGTAGTCCCAGCTACTCGGGAGGCTGAGGCAGGAGAATGGCGTAAACCCGGGAGGCGGAGCTTGCAGTGAGCTGAGAGCCGGCCACTGCATTCCAGCCTGGGCGACAGAGCGAGACTCCATCTCAAAAAAAAAAAAAAAAAAAAAAAAAAAAAAAAAGAGGAAGGTGATTATATGCACTGATTTAAATTTCGAGTTTGTTCGCTTCAACTGAAGATAAGTAATGCAGATTAGAACTGTGGCTTATAGATTTATTGAGAGCAGGGTGAGAAAGTGTACCAAAATAGTTTATAACAAAATCTCAAGAATCCATTAAACACTGACAGTCTTAAACTTCAGGCAAATCTGAAACTAGTCTCCTGCGCAAAGATACTTTTCCATGATTAAAGGATATTAACTCTCATATAATTTAGAAATATATGTAACAATATTACAGTATAACCTTAAATTTAAAATAAGCCAAGAACCTACGCTAATTGAAAAATTAAAAATTACCAGGAAAATATCAGAAGGTATGATAGTTAAACATATTAAAAAAAGGGATATTAAAAAAATAAGTACAATGCAGCTGGGCACGGTGGCTCACGCCTGTAATCCCAGCACTTTGGGAGGCCGAGACGGGCGGATCACGAGGACAAAAGATCGAGACCATCCCGGCCAACGTGATGAAATCCTGTCTCTACTAAAAATACAAAAATTAGCTGGGCGTGGTGGCACATGCCTGTAGTCCCAGCTACTCAGGAGGCTGAGGCAGGAAAATCATTTGAACCTGGGAGGTGGAGGTTGCAGTGAGCCGAGATGGAGCCACTGCACTCCAGCCTGGTGACACAGCAAGACTGCGTCTTAAAAAACAAAAACAAACAAACAAAAAGAAAAGGTAAAGTGCTAAAACTAATCTTAATCTACTAAACAGTTAAGAATAATTTACTTTTAATTTTATTCTATAAAAAATAACTCATTACCGACACAGTAGTCTATCAGGAAAAAAAGATGTAGTATCAAAAAATCAAGCTGCACATTCTTGATGTAAGTTTAATGTCATAACTTTAAAATGCCAATTATAAAGAAACAAGCTTTTTTAAAAGCTCTCAATTACAGTAACACATAAATAAATTCAGAATTTACATTAACCAGACGGTCAACAGTGAACAATATGGCACTTTCACATACTCAAATATACCACATGAAAATTTAAGTGGTCAAGAATGGGTGAATGACTAAATACATCTATTTGTCAGAATAATTTAATTAATAAATAAGGTTGACATATGCCACAAATATGTAAAAATTAATTCACAAAGGTTTGGTTTTTTATTTTTTAGCAAAATATTATCAGAAGGCTAGTTTTAACAGCTCAGTTCCACAGTGATGTTCCATAACGCAAAACAGGGTCAAAGAGCTTGGGTCCTACAGGGGCCAGTAGGTATGAGAAATGAGTGAGGCTGACGGGCAGGAACTGTGGAAAACCAAGGACCACAGCCTCGGTCTAAAAACAAGCTGACTGCTGCTAGGCAGGAAACAGAGGTGAAGGTTGTTGACAACCTTCAAGAAACACCAGAAACTTGGACTTGTTTGGGAGATGTGGAAATCTCCCAAATTTTAAAGGCTGGCAATGGGTAAAAAAAAAAAAAAAGCCCCTCTGCAAGTTAAGCCAAATCATGTGCAAGTTGAAAATAGCCTAGATACCTGTTTGTAAACCTCTAACACTGTATTTTGGGGGATATAATTGCCCATTTATATTAGACTAGATCTAAAATACTTGAGGGAAATCTTTGCCCTGCCCTAAGCCCTCTTTAATAAAGAGGAAAGGCGGGGCATGGTGGCTCACGCCTGTAATCTCAGCACTCTGGGAGGCCAAGGCAGGAGGATCACGAGGTCAGGAGTTTGAGACCAGCCTGGCCAATGTGGTGAAAGCCCATCTCTACTGAAAATACAAAAATTAGCTGTGTGTGGTGGCGGGCACCTCTAATCCCAGCTACTCAGGAGGCTGAGGCAGGAGAATTGCTTGAACCTGGAATGCAGAGGTTGCAGCGAGCTGAGACTGTGCCACTGCACTTCAGCCTGGAAGACAGAGACTCCATCTCAAAAAAAAAAAAAAAAAAGGAGGGGAAACAGCTTTTCAGACATGTATTTCTGTTAAGCAGATCAACTTTTATAAAAGAATGACAACTCTTTCTTCCTTTACCCCAGCCTCCTATTGAAATACATGGTTTTCCAGTCAAAACAACAAATATTCTAGGTACTCTCAGGGACTATCACCTCAAACTTACTGCCATTCAACACTTACCAAAGACTTGGCACGGAAAGGAATAATTTATGCAGGACTGTCTGGAAAATATACAGCCTATTCAGTCCATACTGAAAAAAATATGTGATACGTGGCCACCAGCAAAATTGTACGTTGTTAGGTTTTCAACCACAGAGCAACACTACAAGAAATAATTTAGTAAATCTCATTGCTATATTTATTGTAAGAACATTATGGGAAATGTTCATCACATAACAGTATGCTCTGAGGTTCCATATTATTATCTGTATCTGCTAGAAAGAAGATTCAAGAGCATCTTCTTTACAGAGAGTATAACATATATATGTGATCAGTACATATATATGATCAACAGGATAGGCTCATGATATAGACCAGGGTTTGGCTCTTGGCTCTGCCATTTACCAGCAGCATAACTCAACAACCTTGAGCTTCAACCTACTCTTCTGTAAAATAAGAGAAATAAGAGCACCTTCCTCATAGAGCTGTTATAGTATTAAATGGCACACTTTATATGCATATATACACTGCATATAAAATGTTTGTTACTGAATTGTGTGTCTGGCCCACAAAATGCCTTTAATAAAAGCTATCTGCTGTTTTTGCTCCCATCAATACTCCTTCTAGTACTGCCTCAATTCCAGAAGTACCTGTGTTTTCCAAGCCATTCTGAACTTCATATAAGAAATCTACGGTTTTGTTTTCCTTATTTTGCCTTTGCCACAATTCTTTATCTACTTTTTAATTTAAAATTTCTGAAAAGGTAATATGCTGGCATTACACAAAATCAAGTATGACATAAAAGCATAAAATGACAAGTCTCACTTATTAACACAACCCGTATCTTCCATCCACATAATCAGGGAACTACTTTTCTTCCAGATTTTACTTGATGAAAACATAAATGTAGATTGCTTTTCCCTCTCTCTGATACAAAATCTAAAGTGTCATAAAACAAGCACCTTGTTTATTTCATTTCATAATACACCTTACAGCTCTATCAGGGTACAGGCAGCTTTTTGTTCAACCAGTGCACATTATTCATAAAAAGGTTACACCATAATTTATTTAACTAGTCCCTGACAGATAGGCACTTGAGTTGTATCCAATCTCAAACCAATCCTGCAATGAAAAACTTTGGATGCCACTTCACACATACACAAACTATGTGTGCACACAGGCATGTGAGATTTGAGATAAACAGATCTCACAAATTCCCAGATGTGGGACTGACATGTCAACGGAAACATGCATGTTAATCTTGATAGAATCTGTCAGATCGTCCTCTACCAGTGGTATTCTCAACTGACATTCCCACCCTTAATGTACGAGAGAGGCTGTTTTTCCATAACCTCATCAATAGAATGTGATGTTCAATTAGATTTTAGCCAATTTGATATGTGGAAAATGATATCTCAGTACATCTTAATTTACATTTCTCTCATTTGGAGTGAAGTTAATCATGCTTTTGTGCTTGTCACTGTTTCCTTTCCCTTCTTTTTCATTTTATTTTCATAAGCGTAAATTTTTAATACCTTGAATGTTTTTTAAAACAGGCAATACATATTATATAAAATTATAATAAATTTATAATAAAACTTTTTTTAAAATACAGTTTTGGTTTTTTTTGTTTTTGGTTTTTTTGCCGGGCAAGGTGGCTCACACCTGTAATCCCAGCACTATGGGAGGCCGAAGTGGGTGGA